ATATTGCCTTGTTTACAGTATCGAAATATATCGGGATATATCGGGATATATCATATCGTGACCCCTCTGTCATGACATGTATCGTATCGCCAAATTCTTGCCAATACACAGCCCTAGCATTTAAGGGGTTGGTCACCAGTTCAACTCCCCAAATCGACAAGCCCCACCCTGGACCCTTAACCCCTAAGCTGCTTTCCAGGCAAAACAAAAATGCCCCACTGTGCCACATGTGCTCACACGTGATGGTAAAAATGCAGAGAATTAATTTTCCCACCAGAGGATCAATAAAGTATTTTAAAAAAATTGAACACCAACTTTAGTTGTGTGAAATGGGACTGAACAGTATTAAATACTAAATTAAAGTGAATTAAAGGTTTTGAGCTGATGATGATGATGATGATGATAATGATGATGATGATGATGATGATGATAAACAATAGATCACTGTCATCTGCATAAAATGCAGAATTAAATCAATTATCACAAAGATAATTATTATAACTGCTGGAACACAACCAGTCATTTCTACTGCAATCAGTCCAGTCGGTTCTGAGAGGCCCAGGTCAGATTCCACCTATTTGATATGCTTCAATGTTTTGTTTCTTGCTCTTTGTGGTGTATATAGAGAATGAACTGCAGGGTCCTAATATAGAGCCCTGAGGAACTACTTCAACWATGGTGAGTGAAGGACCCAGCATGGCCCTGCAATGTGTCTGAGCTGCTTAGTCAGGTAGGGTCCGAGTGGCTCAGGTACCAACACAGTGTGAAACCATGTGAAACTGTTGAAGCTCTCCTCAGTCACCTGCATTAACAGGTGTTCTTTTATTAATGCTAATAATGCTTTACAGTTTAGTAGAGTACAGTTTAGTTCTAAGATTTGTTTGTTTTTACACACATCAGTAAAAATCTACATGTCGGCATCTTAAAGCTATATACTGTATTGGTCATGGGGAAATGAGACTCTGTAGAAAGGTTCTAAACCATATTACCTGTTGTAGATGGTTCTACAAATTATCTTAGTTTATGGACAAGACTAATAGCAAGTTCAAGTGAGGACGAGACCAAAGTGGAATGCTGCCAACTAGAATAGCTCCATTCTCTAATATTTGATTGTGGTTCATGTTAACACTATTCTATAACCCACTGTCAACTTTTCAACAGTTATTTACACAGAATTCTATGYTTATTCACAGTTCAAGTGTAGTTTTGGTAAACCATGAGGTACTTTCTGCAGGAACATCAGAATATTTAATATCACTTTAGCAATGATAARTTAAATACATTTCATATTCCTTTATTCTTCAAAACCGTGCCTCGACCAGCACCCCATACAATAAATTCAAGTCCTGCGTTTGTTGAGCTCACAATTCATCTGAAAACCAAGAAAGACTAAATTCACACTGCATGCAAGTGTGACCCACATGTGGCCCATACACTGTCACATGTGGTCCTACTGATGCCAACYTTGGGATCAGATCATTCTGAAACTAGCCTGATGCAATCAATAACTAGTTTTTTTTCTACTTTCAGTTGATCTCATTCTASAAGTTAAATTCTGCACCGTAGCAGGTTAGAAGATGTAAGATCAAGTGTAGACCAAACAATCGTGTTGGACCATCATGTAGTAGCTCTAACAGTAGAACAACTTCAGAACTGATGCTAACATGTAGCATCTATGTTTACTTCTGTAAACACAGTGTGCTGCATGTGACATCGGAGCCATGGACTGTTGGAATCTGATGGGGGGTCCACTTTAAATTAGAATATAATTTATTGATCAGAGAACAAATTAATTTGTATTTTTTAAACCGTCTATTTGAACATGTGTTTACTGTCAGCATGTTCCAGAAACTGAAAGCAGCAGAATGTTGGTCAGATGTCTTCTAACCCTTCAGTCGATCAGGAGCTGCTCCTCACATTAAAAATTATGACTATCAGCAGAGAAATACTTAATTATTTAGGAAGTTTTTTTCCCACCATCCTCACAATAAAGCCACTCCCCTTTTTACTCTAATAATTGTGATAATAATTAAAGTTTAAAGAATTAGATTAATTCATTTTGGTGGTCACAAAACATTAACTTTTTCGCTGATGAAGTAAGTAATAAAGCAAGATCCACAAAATTACATCAAATTATTGTTTAGGGCTTTTACATCATTCTATCAGTTCACCAACAGCTGATGTAGTGGACATAAACAAACCTTGGCCACACCACATAATCACAAAGCAAACAGGTTTAACAGAAATCATTGGTTTAAAATCCATTTTTGATAGCAAAAAATCCTAGACGCTGCCATAATTTGAGGATGGAATTTGTCCCACCTGTTTGCACACGCTGACAACAGAGCTGTCCTTCATGTCACACCTTCAAAAGACAAAAACCT